TTAGTATTTTGTGATGATGCGCAGGCAAGCAATTTAAATTAATAAAATTTTTTTTTTCAGAAGGAAAAAAAAAATCCAAACACTAAAACTGTTATCGAAATTAAAAAAACAAAACAAAACTGTGTATTTGTGTATTTGATGACCACAGTAAGCTATATAGCCCCAGCTAGGTACTAGTTTATAGTATGTTCATTCTACTCACTGAGGTTTATGCCTAAAGTCAGACATGGGTTCATGTGTATGTATATATCAGCTGCGGTTGCTATTGCAAATATTTAGACAAATTAAGTTCATTAGCAAGTCAATTAAATGGGGGGAGGCATAGAAAGCAACCATGGATACCAGAGACAATGCGAGAGGAGGGTTGGACAGGGCAGAGGGTTAGGGATAGGGAATCAAGGATGGCAAAAAAAAAAAAAAAAAAAGCAAAATATGCAAGACATAAGAAATGGAAAATTATTTGTTGATAACATGCATTTTGATGTGCTTGATTGAGCCAATAGACAGTGTATTTTCAATGGAAAATTCATTTTGTATACTGTAATGATGTATAGTGAATTAATGTAAAAAAAAAAAAGAAAAAAAGAAGTAAATTTAAAAAATGATTGCCTTAAAAAAAAGAAAACCTTAATGGTATGTCTAACAAAAGTTTTCACTTCAATAACTGATATATAATTGAGATAAATGACATCCATTGACTTAGTTCAAATTCTTATTAATGCATGTATGATATTTTGAAAAATATGTCTATTGGAAACCTAACGATATGGGGAGTATATTCTTGAATATGTGCATCACAGAGAATGCAAATAAATTGCTACAATTTTTTTGTAAAGGGTGATAATCAGCTTGTTAAATGATAAAAATAAAAATTTAGAACAGTAATACATACTGACGTGTTTTGAGTCTTACAATTTTCTTATATGTCATAAAAAGCTGTGTATATTTTCTTCATGCCTGGTTTGTTTTCTGCATTTAAAATGCAGCTGTAGCTTAAATCCAATAAGGGGAACTGGCTGTTAGTGGGGTTGACACTGAATAAGCTTGGGCTCCCATTCAGACTCTGAGAATGGGCACCCATGGCCATGAGAACTGCTGCCAGTTGATATCTCATGCCCAATGGAGTTCTCTCTTTTCTTGCTGGATTATACTCTGTTGGCCTCTTCCTTTTCCTAGATATTGTCAGAAGCCAGTGGCTGCTGGCAGAAATACTTGAGTGATACAAAGTGCATTACTTAATATAATACAACTGTACTATGTGCCTGGATTGATTTTTATTTATTTATTTTTTGCTACAGGCTGTATGTGCTTACCAGAGACCGAGAGAGAGAAAGGGAAATTGGGAAAGCTTACCCCAGACAAACTAGCCATGCATCAACCCTTTCTCTTCCATTTACCTCTTGAAATGGTGGGCACTAACACACATGCATACAGCATGTTTTTCAAGCTGCCTGGTCTGAGAATCTAACTATAGAATTGGCCATGTGGGATCTAGCCGCCTTAACCACTGTAACACTGGCTGGTCCTTTCCTGGATTTAAATAGCAGGGCAGCAGGCTGAGAAGGGACTTCCCTCAACAGTCATTTGTAACACTCTTTGGATGAGGTAACTCTTTTCCTAATAAAACTGATGCCAGACCACATCAACAAAAGTCTTTTACCCAGCTGTTTGAGTCCTGGCACTTTGGGCTGCTCAGGAGACTGAAGCTAGTAAGTTAACTTATTTTGTCCATAAGTACTCTACATGCTTATCTTCTGGCAGCAAATTTTCTAATCAAAGATTTTTAGCTAATAGAACAGGCTAAAACACACTAACTCCAAGTCAATAGGATAACATGCTCTGTCCTATTGATTTCTATCAGCCTCTGCTGACCTTTATTATTGAACATCAGAGGGTTAAGGTGGATCTTAGTGACCTGGATACTAGACTTAATTTTTCTTACACTTAATGTGTTTTGGCAACCTATCTGGTTGTCAGAAAAGTCATGACATATTTTTTTGTTTTTCTGTACAAAAATGCATCATGACTTTTCTGAGGACCTAATAGTTTATCTTTGCATTTTAAATCAATCACCAAATAATTGTGATACCAATGCCTTTTTGATTGAATTCAGAAGCAGAAGAGCTCAAAATAATCATGAAAACAACTCAAGACTTCATTCTAAGAAATTTATGACTGTTTCCTCGGATAAAACGACACCTTTCTTGAAAACTACAACCATTTCTTTCATGAGGACAGCTTCCATACTGTTTGATTCCGGATTCAGTAATGAAAAGCAAACTTGTCTAAGGGAAAGAATAAAGTATATTTGTTATGGACCCATTTTCACTTTCAATTCCTTAAATACATGTCTTCAAACTGAAATAAAGAATACATCATATATCATATTATTTAAAGCACATACTACATTGCTCAGAGATTGCACCTGGCATTGCATCTCCCTTGAGTTTAGTGAGTGAACACAAATCTTGTGCAACAAATTACTAGAACATTTTTCACATTGTTAAATTCATTGAATATCTATTTCCCCTTCCCTCAGCCCATAGGAAGTTTCAATATTACCCTAATTGAACTAAAAATGCGATGCAATTCCTTTCAAAATGCCAATGACATTCTTCACAGAAATAGAAAAAACAATCATAAAATTTGTGTGGAATCACAAAAGGATCCAAGTAGCCAAATAAACTCTGTGCAAAAAGGTCAAAGTTGGAAGCATGACACTTCCTGACTTCAAAATATGTAACAAACCCATGGTAACTGAATCATCATGATATTGGCACCAAAAGAGAGACAGAGACCAATAAAATTGAATAGATTACACAAAATTAAATTCACAAATATATACCCAACAGATTTTTTACCAATTTTAACAAATATTTAATGGGAAAAGAATGTTTTTTTAAATAAATTATGCTAAGAAATTGAATATCTATATGTAGAAGAATGAAGCTAGATCTCTATCTCTTACCATATACAAAATTAATTCTAAATGGATTAAAAGTTTTATACACGATAATTGAAATCATGAAATTACTAGAAGAAAATGTAGGACAAATTTTTCAGGAAATTGAAAGGCAAAACATTGGTCTTGTCTACTTATTTGTTTGTTTTAATATTTTTTAATTGGTAGAGAACTTATGTATGCAACAGAGACAGAGATAGAGGGAGCGTAATGGGAAGAAAACACTTCCCAATGGAGTGGAGTGATGTCTCAATCCCTTTTCCCCCATTTGTCCATCCTTTGGGATTTGAGGCACACACACATATGTACCCAGCATTTAAGCTGCCAGGCTGGGACTGAAACTGCTGTCAGCCATGTGGGATTGATTCCCTCATTCATTGGATCACAGATCTATTCCAAGGTCTTATATACTTTGAGTAAGACCTCAAAGGCAGAAGCAACATCAACAGTGAAAATAGGAAAATGGGAGTACATTACACTAAAATGCTTCTGTATAACAAAGGACATCATCAACACATTGAAGAAATAGTCTACAGAATGGGAGAGAATATCCACATGTTAAACATCCAAAAAGAGATTAATAAAAATATTACATAAAGAACTCAAGAAGATGTTTTGATATATGTATATATTGTAATACAACTGCCACAATTACTGCAGTTAAGTCACTGGACTACCACATGGCCAACCGTGATTTGAGACCTGGATACAGTGGCTTAAAAATCACACTGGGTGCTTGTGCATGTGTGCCCAAGATCCCACGAGGAGAATGGCAGAAAAGGGATCGTGACTTGGACTTCCTCTTTGGGGATGATTTTCTCTTATCCTCTAACTGTACTGTCTTTCTCTCTCTCTCAAGGAGAGCAAATATGCTCTAAGGCAAAAACTTCTTAAAACTAACAAACCAAAAGAAACAAAAAAAATCAAACTTCACTGATTTTAAGTACACAATACAGTCTATACAGTCTTATTAACTGTACAGTCACCATGCTGCACATTCGATCTCAAGAACTTATTCCACCAAGATGAATTTTCCTTTGTGCATTTTGACCAACACA